CATTTTCCAATACATATTGATGTCCTTATGCTATGTACATGTAGTTGATTCCAACTTCAAATTTTTCAAGTTATGGCTATTTTAATAAAATCCCAAAATTCTGAAAAATACCCAAGGCTATAGCCCATGGTTTTTTCCGAAAAATGGCTCCAAAGTTGCCCCAAATTTTTATTACATTTTCTGATACATATTGATGTCCTTAAGCTGTGTAGGAAGTTTGAGCTGATTCCGACTTAATTTTTTCAAGCTACAACCATCTTAATAAGGTCCCAAAATTCTGAAAAATACCATGGGCTATAGTTCATGTTTTCTTCCAAAAGCTGGATAATGTTAATTAATATTATAGTCCAACTAATAGTGGTTCAAACCACACCTACTTGTAATCTATGGGCCAGTCCAATCTCATTGCAAGGTGTAACAGTATGCAGTGGGCGTGAGTCCGTAACCATGACAACAGGAATATTAACGAGGGAGAGTGGTTTACATATCCATACTGAAGTCTGTAACTCAACATAGTCAACTAATTGATTAAATTTAAAATTTATACATGTATTTTTGAATCAAAAAAGTGATATTTTATAATTAAAAAATATTTTTTGATATTTTAAAATAAAGTGATTTACCTCCATTACTATACTGGATATCTCACTGGCCTCACTAGCAACTAGTACAGAGTGTGACATGGTCTGACGAACCTACAGCACAATACATGTACATTGTATCCATTAATAATCATTTACATATACAGTATTTTACATGTACAAAATAATGTACATGTACATGTACATGTCTATACAGAGATAAGAGTAGCATTTACTAATAAACTAGCTATTGTGCAATCTAAATGTAATCTACATGTACAACCATTAACCAATAGGGATTAGGTGACAAATTAAGAAGCTTCATCTATGAACTTTACAAGACAATCCCTGCCCATGTATGTGCAACTACAAGTAATAAAAATTGACTCAAAAATTCTACACAGTGTATACCGAAAAGCCTTTAATACATGTACATGTACATATAATTACAATTCAGAACCATACACATTGTAATTAATGCAATAGCCACACCTATAATCCACCCACTCACTTTATTAAGAAGTAACTGACAATGTAACAGACGAGCTGAGAATAAGCCACACCCCTTTAACGAGGGCTCCACCCCTGCTAGTTTCTCAAGGTCGAGGGAGCAGTCCCTGAGATTATCAGTAGAGGTACTCTGAGTGTAAGTGAGAGCACGAGAGAGGAGTCGCTTGAGGAATGACTCTGAAGACACTAACTGATCATCATTCACTGTTTTATGAATAACCTCTTCTTTATGTAGTGTCTATTAGAAATACATGTACAATGCAATAAAATAAATTAAAATGTTAATGCTGAAAAATTGGGTCATTGAGCTGATTTTTTAGCAACTTAAAAATTTATTTAAAAATCCAAATTTGATCTGAATCAGCTCAAATTTATACACAACACAAGAACATGTGAATGCATCAGAAAAAATTATAAAAGTTAAGAATTCTCTCATAGCCATTTTCAATGAAATTTGGCCAAAAACCAAAGACTATAGCCTTTGGTCGTTGGTCCAATTTTTTAACAACTTTATAAATTCATAAAAAATCCAAACTTGCTCAGAATAAGCTCAAACTTTCTACACAACATAAGAAAATGCATATGTATCAGGGAAAATTATATAAATGGAGAATTCTCTCCTTTCCAATTTTTGTAAAATTTGGCTTGAGAATATGTACAAAACATAAAAAATTTAAAAAAACAAGGTTAAGTAGGA